TGATCAGGGATCCATTTCATAGATTTAACCTGGTCCCGGACAGGGATCGATCTCATGGCTGTATCCCTTCCCAGGGAGAGGAAGAATTGATCAGGAATCGATCTCAGGGATTTAACTCTATAGGGGCCGAATGAATGATGAGGGATCAGTCTCGTGGGTTTAACCCTATCTGGGGAGCGGAAGAAATCAGCCTCCTGGAGGGATCAGCCTCATGGATCTCAGGGTTTAACCCTATTTCTCGGGCGGGGGAGAAAGAACCAGGGACCAACCTCGTGGATGTGAATGATCAGGGATCAGTCTCATAGATTTAACCCTATCCAGGAGGAGGAGAAAATGATCAGGGATTAGTCTCACGGATTTAACCCTTTTCAGGGGGCACTAAAATGATCTGGGATCAATCTCATGGATTTAACCCTTTCCGGGGGGAGGGAAAGTGATCAGGGATCGATCTCGGGGATTTAATCCTTTCCAGGGGGGGTGAAGGAAAGATCACGGATGGATTTAACCCTTTCCAGGGGGAAGAAAAATGATCAAGGATCAATCTCAGGGATTTAATCCTATCTGGAAATGGGAGAATAAATGATCAGGGATCAATTTTAGGGATTTAAAAATGATCAGGGATCAATTTTAGGGATTTAATCCTGGAATAAATACTCAGGGATCTATTTCAGGGATTGAACTCTGTTAAATCGATCTCTGGGATTTGTCGGTTTCTGGGGATTCTTTTTGCAGGGGAAGGACCAAGTTTCAAAAATGGGCTTGCTGGTCTCTGGTGGTTTATTTTGTTTTGCAGCAAGGGGGGGGGATCATTTTTAAAAACAGAGCATGCCAGTTTCTGGGGGTGCTATAGATAGATAGATAGATAGATAGATAGATAGACAGACAGACAGACAGACAGATAGATAGATAGATACAATTTTGCAAAGAGGGAACCATTTTTTTAAAATTAAAAAAAAAGGAATTCAATTAACAATCAAACCTTTCTTTAAAAGAATAACAAAATAGTGACTTGAAGGTGGTTTGGAAGAAGAACTGCTTTGCAAAATCATGATGATGATAGTGACTCACGATATTGTGTGTGTGTGTGTGTGTGTGTGTGTGTGTGTGTATAATCGTGCATCAGCATCCTATATATATATATATATATATATATATCTGCCTTAGGCTTGATCAGGAATTAGGGGACTCTCTGTGCCACCTCTTAAATTTAGGGGAATCTCTGAACATATCCAGGGGTAGTTGTGTTGTCCATACTTGACAAAAACAACAGCAACAACATCTTGTCAAAATATAAGCCTATGACTCTTAACATCATCAGGTTTTCCTTCTTCTTCTCCCCTCTGGGTTTTTTTAACCTGATGAAGAATCCTATGGAGCTTCAGAAGCTTGCAAACATATTTCGTGTATGTTGGCTTGGCCCAAGGAAAAGATGACTCTGTTTTCTGTGGATCATGGGTGTTGCAATACTCTGGAACCTGTGCAGTCCTCTCCGGGAGTCCCTTCCCAGGTCCCTTCAGCATCCGCACTGCATAAATAACCCGGTTTGATACCACTTGAACTGCCAGGGCTCCATGCTAGGGAATTCTAGGAATGATAGTTTGTTGGGGCACCACTGGTCATAGTCCAAGGCCCAAACCACTACACACCATGCTGGCTCTCATCTAACCTATTAGTTTTGAGCATTTCTTAGAATCCTAGAGTTGGAAGAGACCCCAAGGGCCATCCAGTCCAACCCCATTCTGTCATGCAGGAACTCTCAATCAAAGCATCCTCGACAGATGGTCATCCAGCCTCTGTTTAAAGACCTCCAAAGGAGGAGACCCCACCACTGTCTGAGGGAGTGTCTTCCACTGTCAAACAGCTCTTACTTCCACTGTCAAAGAGCTCTTACATTAGTTCCTCCTAATGTTGAAGTGGAATCTCTTTCCCTGTAGTTTGCATCCATTGTTCCAGGTCCTATTCCTATTCTCTAGAGCAGCAGAAAACAAGCTTGCTCCATCTTCAACTTTTAAAAACTCCCTTAAATCCAGAAATCTTGCAGTGCAAACTCCTCCTGCTCCAGTAAGCAGCTTAAGGAAGGCTTGATGTTGGAGGGCAAGCCTTTTATAAGAACAGTCTCACGTCCCAAATTTTGACCATGTAAGAGTATAATCGCCATGTCTTGAATGTTGTGAGTTCCAAATTCCTTGCTTTGGAGACAGCTTGGATTCACCGCAACAATGGAGGAGGAAGCCATGCTTTCTTGAGGAAAATGTGCCAAGAAATCACAATGGCTTGGAAGATGAATTTGCCAAATTTCAACTTTCCGCATCATCTGGAAGTACTTTCTAGATCAGAGGGTACATTCTGAGTCTCCTGTTTGGAAAGCCCAGCGGACCAATGTGTTCCCAGCCCTTCAGAATTTAAGTAATAAGGGAGTCTGGGATTATGCGTTTACCAAATTTCAGCTTGCTATCTACTAGAGGAGTGTTTCCTGCACACTTCTCAAGCTGCGCCTTGAAGTGTGCATCTCACACATTTTAGCTGCCAGTGTTTAAATGAGAATAGGAGTAAAAGTAATACTTGAAACCTGGTTGCTTAGAAAGGAACCCCAAACCCAAACATTCTCCTATCGACAAATCTCTGGAAAGGAAGAAATTGTGACATAGCTCCATCACCATTAAGCTGTGCACTGGAGCCTGTATTGTAGAATCTCAGCCAATGAATGTTTGCTTCTTCATGCAAAATTGTGCAAAGAAAATAACATCGATCGAACATGGGGTGATCAATCGGTGAATCTTTCTTTTTTGAATGGAGTGATGTAATGAATGGAGTTTTGCTGCTGTGTGCCTTCACATTGTTTCCAACATATGGCAACCCTAAAATGAACCTATCACGGTGTTTTTTCGAGGGCTGAGAGTGTGTGACTCACCCAAGGTCACCCAGTGGGTGTGTTTTGGGGGTTTTGTTATGCTTGAGTGAGAAATCGAACCCTGGTCTCCAGAGTCCTAGTCCAATGCTCAGATCATTATTATTATTATTCCACTTTTCTCCCAAGATTGCAACCCAAAGAGGCTCGCAGTCTAAAAAAACACACAGTACAATAAAAAAACTTCCAAAACAGACAATGAAAAAGGTACTAAACGACACAATGCTGGATCTCTGTAGCAGAGATACTGAGCTTTATTTCCTCAAACTTGTCTTGTGGAAGTGACCTAGAATATCAAGTGTGCACAGTTTTCACCTTCTCTGGGAAGAATCTTTGTTTGAAGTTGTCAGAGTGACTGGGATTTCTGTCTGACTGAGCCTTTGCAGCATGGCCAGAAGGAGTTCAAAGTCAACACCACAGCCCTTGGGTTACATATTAAACCCATTTTATATTGATCTGGCCCCTCCTTGGCTTTCTGGAAGCTAAGAACCCAGGCGGAGATTAGCTAACCAAGCTGATGCCTCTCCAGTTGACTTCTAGGCAAACTTGTTAAAGATTAATATTTGGGAATTTTCTCAGCGGTGCTTTCCATTCTTTGCTTCCTTCAAGGGATAAGCTCATGCAACCAACTTCTTTTTTTCAACTAGTCTCAAAGGTGCCACCAGATGCCTTTACATACTGATTCTCCAGACTAACATGGCTATGACTTTGGCCGCATCCGCACTGCAGAAAGGATCCAGTTTGACGCCACTTTAACTGCCTTGCATAATGTATATATGAAAAATAAATGAATTTTGGGTCTAGACTTGGATCCTATCTCCAGGATAGCACAGTATGCATGCATATGCAAATACAGGTATTCCAAAATCCTTTAAAAATCCAAAATCCAAAAAGACTTCTAGTCCCAAGCATTTCAGATAAGGGAGACTCAGCCTATATATATATATATATATATATATATATATATATATAAATTTCCTCTCAGCCCTGAATTCATGGTGCCCTTAGGCAATCTCCTCTCTTAGCCCTCAGTATTTCCCTCTGTAATATGGGAACTGTCTCACTGTAAGAGCCAGCATGATGTAGTGGTTCCCAAACTTTGGTCTTCCAGATGTTTTGGGCTTCACCTCCCAGAATTCCTGACTGTTGGCCAAACTGTCTGAGGCTTCTGGAAGTTAAAGTCCAAAACACCTAGAGGACCAAAGTTTGGGGATCACTGGTGTAGTGGTTTGAGTGCTGGACAACAGCTCTCGAGTCCAAGGTTCGATTCCTAGCTTGGCCACATAACCCACTGGATGACCTTGGGCAAGTCGCATGCTCTCAGCCTCGGGGTAAGGTAATGGCAAACCTCCTCGGAACAAATCTTGCCAAGAAAAACCCATGATAGGTTTGCCTTAGAGCCGCCATAAGTTGGAAATGACTTGAAGGCACACCACAACAACAAATAGTCCTGTCATAAGGACTGTGGTGACATACAAGGAAGGGATCTTGAGCCCTTTAAGTGCCTGCAAAAATGCAAGGTGATAATAACACTGCAAGGTGAAAGAGCACATGGGGGCAGGCAGACTTCAAGCAAAGCATATCTTCTATCATTTGGAAATTAACATCTCCAGCAATGCACCCTTCTCACCCACTCTTGTCTTGCCATTGCTTCTTGGGACTCTTCTTTTAAACAACAGATCTTTTTTTTCCTTTCCCCCCTTGTCTAAACAAAGCATGTTAATAGAAGGGGCCAGGAATTTAGTGGAGAGCATTTAAGTGGATTAACTGCAATAACACAACCCAAGGAGCGATAACTGGGTGAGACAATTGACTGCAAAATGCACAGCATTTGCAAAAGGGAGGAGGGCTTGGGTTTGGAAATGGGGTGGTCCATTGGATAGCTACAGCCTCCAGGCTTCTGGAGCATGTTCTTCCTTGCTTTCTTCTCTACTCCATCTCCATATATATATATGAATGTTCTTTTAATGGGCCATTTTGCAAGTTCCTACTAAAACACAAGTGGCCTTTGAAGTGCCCCATGATGTCATTCAGCCTTCCAGGGTGGTCTTTGGAGGAGTCTTCTCTCTTGAAAAGATCAGTATGTTAATAAAATATAATTAAAAAAAAAATAAAAGATCAGTCCAGCCTTTAGTAAGTGGTTTTATCTTCTAGATGGGGAAGAAGAGCTGGAGAATAGCTAGTTACAAAAAAAAGAAAAAGAAAAAGAAAAAATCATCCAAATGTAATCAAATTCTTTTTTTTCCCCAGGAAGGAAGGTAAAACTATGGCTGAAAACCTACATCACAGTCTACAGTACATAACTTTACAAATCCATAGCAGAAACCAAATGAAGAAGTAGACTGAAGTCTACAAAAGTCGTGCTACAACTTCTTGGGCAGAGTACAATAACATCCAAAGTAGTAAAGGTATGGCTGTTTTGTGGATTTATTGTATTTTACTATATGGCCAACACAGCTCCCCCAAATATGTTCTTTTGCACAGTTGGATCCCTTTGCATACTGATATTCTAGACTAATGGGCCCTAAACAAAGGGGTCCTAGAGCAGATCAAGCCAGAGAGATCCCTAGAAGCCAAGATGGCAAGACTTAGACTGCCGTACTTTGGACAAAACATGAGAAGGCATGAATCCTTGGAAAAGACAATAATGTTAGGGAAAGTTGGAGGGAAGTAGAAAGAGAGGAAGGCCACATTTCAGATGGATGAACTTTATTGAAGAGACCAAGAATAAGAGTTTGCAGGAGCTGGGCAGAGCAGGAAAGGACACGGGGGCCTGGAGATGTCTCATCCATAGGGTCCCTGCCATGAGTTGAGAGCGACACGAAGACAGCTAACAACAACAAATTCTAGACTAACATGGTGACGTCGCAATTGGGTTTAAAGCTGTATCTGCACTGCAGAAATAATCCAGTTTGACACCACTTGAACTGCCACAGCTCCATGCTATGGAATCCTGGGAGTTGTAGTCTGTTGTGGCACCACAGCTCTCTGACAGAGAAGGCTAAATATCTCACAAAACTACCAATCCCAGAATTCCGTACCATGGAGCCATGGCAGAGCGGTGTCAAACTGCATTATTTCTGCAGTGCGGATGCAGACTAGGTCAGAGGGTGGGAATCATTCTACCATCCAGATGTTTATTTGATTGTAGCTCTCAACAGCCCCAGCAAGCATAGCCAATGATCAGCTTATGCTGGGAGTGGTAGTCCCTCAACATCTGGAGGCTGGATTGACTTCCCACTCCTGGTGTAGGTCATGCTTTAAAAATTCACACACACACACACACACCCAAAAAAGAAAAGAATTCTGCACCAAGTAAAGTTCAGTTCTACAAGCCATTTGGTGTGCTTTTTGGCTAGACCAGGGAGAGATGCAAGGAGAAGCGTCTGGCCAATATAAAGGAGGTTTTATTATTGTTGTGTTGTTTTTAAAAAATAAATCAAATGCATTTGGTTCTTGAAAGGATGAGGGTCAATTTGTAAGGACAGAGAAAGACGTTTGATCCCTCATTTTTGCAGAGAGAGGAGCAACAAATGCATGGCCTCATGCCAGGCATGCTGACCGTTAACACCTTTCCCACTATTCCAAGGAAATAGATGACTTCATGCAACCGGCAAAAAATAATAATGATTAATATGAAAGATGTCTGACCTCCCATAATCATTCTTGGGGGGTTAAGAAGCCTCTTTCCCCCCAACCCACCCATACGATTAGGGTTGTCATAGTAATAATAACAACAACAACCACTCCTTCAAAAGGAGGCCTTGAAGTTTTTCCTAATAGGAATCTCATGGAACAATGATCCTTCCCCCCACATTAGTTCATTGGCAAGGGCTTATCTAAAAATGAAACTGTCTGGAAACGAACCCAGGGAAAAAGAAATCATCAGCGGTCATTCCTTTTCAAAAGAAGAAGAAGAAGCAGCCAAAGCTACAAAACCAGGTGAACTCAACTTTTCTGGTAATATTAGCTCCTAATAATAATAATAATAATAATAATGACAATAAGAAAGCTGCTGGCGAAGGTATTGCCATTACAGCCTGGGCCCATTCACACTACAGAATTATTGTGCTATGATTCCACTTTAACTCCCATGCTTGCATCCTATGGGATATGATTTGGAGTTTGGTGAGCACTCTGGCTGAATATTCTGAATTTTTTGGCGGTGGAGAGTGCCTCCAACTTATGGAGACCCTAAAGCAAACCTATCACAGGGTTTTCATTGCAAGATTTGTTCAGAGATCTTTGCATTCCTCTGAGGCTGAGAGAATGTGACTTGCCCTAGGTCACCCAGTGGGTTTCCATGCCCGAGTAAGGATTCGAACTCTGATCTCCAGAGCCATAGTCCAATGCACAGATCACTGCTTCACACTGGCTTGTATTCTAAATGCCTCTCCCTAAACTGCCAGTACCAGAATTCTATAGGGCAGAACCATGGTAGTTAAAGTGGAATAATAGCACTATAATTCTGTAGTTTGAATGGGTCCCAGGATTTGGAGGAAAACATCTGATGGGCAATTCTGTTCAATGAGCAGAAGGACAACCATTTGCAAGAGAGCAGGCATACTCCATTTTGGAGAAATACATATCGCTGTCTAAAGGAGAGGCTAACAGAAACAAGTGATATGAGACCATAAGTCTAATTACTTAAGTATTCCAAACATGTTAGTTCTCTTCCATCCAAGGGCGCTGAGAACCAGATACAGAAGCAAAATCCATTTTCCAACTTTTAGTGTCAATATCTGTGGAAGAGCCTCATAACTTTCACCAGAAAGTTGGGTCTATGACCCAAAAAAAGTTTAAGAACTTGAGGAAGAACAGACAAGCTGGAAGAGGCTGCAGCAGTTTGCTTTTGCCTGAGTCTACAGGCAAGAGGACAATCCCACCCATCCTGTTCTCTCCCCACTGCTGAGTTTATTGAGCAGAAGCTACTTTCATTACTTGGAATTTGGTTTGCCCAAGCTGTTGAAAAAAGAGGGAAAGTGACATGGCTGGATCAAAATAGAGGTGAAACGATTTATCGAAGCAGCTACTGATTGACAGAATTAAGAATAATCCAGCTGAGATGAGAAGGAAGTAAAGGGATGAATGTTTAGGATGTGTGAAAGAATCTAAGTGGAATTAGTGATAGATAAAGACAGAAGGCGAAAGGGAGTTGATGAAGGTGAGAGGATGTAGTAGTAGAGTATAAGGTGTAGGATGACGGAGAATGAAAGTGAAGACGATCTAGATCAGGAAGGAAGAACGAAAGGGGATAGTAAAGTGATAGAGAAGAGTATAGGAAAGGGAAAAGAGAGTCTGGATAGAGATGGATAAAGGCTGAAACATAAGAGAATGCAATGACGTAGAAGGAATTATAATAGTATAATTGTTAAAATACAGAGTTAAACTAAGATATCCCTTCTTATCTGTAAATGTTTCTGTATATTTGAAAGATATGTGTTATAGCAAGACCTTTTAGTAATAAGTGTTCAACGCGCAATATTAAGTATTGATCATGTATTGAATGAATGTGTATTTTAAATTTTAATCAATAAACTTTTTTAAGAAAAAAAGAAAAAAGAGGGCAAAGTGGAGGAGAAGTGAGAAACCGGAACATTTTAAAAGCAGCTGCAAAAGTGGGATGGCAGAGGGTTAATCTGGAGTGTCCCAGCTCCTGAACCACAGCTGCTGCCTGGCTCCCTTCCACCATTCCCTAACCACCTAATAGCCATAGGATTTCTCCCTGGCCACCAGAACAGTAAGTTAAGGGTGACAGGAGGGAGAAGGGCACTTAGTTACACCTGGCAGAGTGTAAAGCAATCTAGGATTTCAGCTAAACAGTCCATCTGCACCCAATATCTTCAAAACCAGACTAGTGCTTTCTGCAGAATGCCAAGTGTCTGGAGTGTGGAGCTTTAGTTGAAGAAAGTTTGCAAAATGAGCTTGGATCCTACTTTGCACAACTTCATTCAGAGCGTAGATTTGGGTTTCCATGGCACAGATCGGATTGGGGGCGGCAAGCGCAGAGCACACACAGTTCTGCTTCCGAAGTGTCGTCCAGATTCCATTTCATTCTGCAGCATGATGTGTGAAACTTGAACCTCGTGTTTGTTTAAATGCACCGGGGTGGGGTGGGTGGGATGTGTCTGTAAGTTGGATTTGCAAAGATGTTTCCTACAGAAAGAAAGGGGAATTTGGTATCCAGGTGTGCGTGAATGTAACATAAAAAGAAAACACTTGAAATGATGGTGATCTGAGTAGCCTGATGATGCTGCATAGGATCTCTCAATGTCTCTCCTG